ATCCTAAAGATGCTACCAGAAAACTACTAGAGCTAACCAATGTATTTGGTAAAGTAGCAGGATACAAGATTAATGCACAGAAATCTCTTGCATTCTGATACACTAATAATAAAAAATGTGAAAGAGAAATTAAGAAAACACTCCCATTTACTATTGCAACAAAAGAATAAAATACCTAGGAATAAACCTCCACAAGGAGACAAAAGATCTTTATGCAGAAAACTATAAGACACTGATGAAAGAAATTAAAAATGATACAAACAGATAGAGAGATATACCATGTTCTTGCATTGGAAGAATCAAAATTGTGAAAATGACATTACCCAAAGCAATCTACAGATTCAGTGCAATTCCCGTCAAACTACCAGTGGCATTTTTCACAGAAAGAGAACAGAAAATTTCACAATTTGTATGGAAACACAAAAGACCCCAAATAGCCAAAGCAATCTTGAGAAAGAAAAATGGAGCTGGAGGAATCAGGCTCCTGGACTTTAGACTATACTACAAAGCTACACTCATCAAGACAGTATGGTACTTGCAAAAACAGAAATATACATCAATGGAACAGGATAGAAAGCCCAGAGATAAACTCACACACCTATGGTCAACTTACCTTTGATAAAGGAGGCAAGAATATATAATGGAGAAAAGATAGCCTCTGCAATAAGTGGTGCTGGGAAAACTGGATAGCTACATGGAAGAGAATGAAATTAGAACACTTCCTAACACCATACATAAAAATAAACTCAAAATGGATTAGAGACCTAAATGTTAAGGCCGGACACTATAAAACTCTTAGAGGAAAACTTAGGCAGAATAGTCTTTGACATTAATCACAGCAAGGTCCTTTTTGACCCACCTCCTAGAGAAATAGAAATAAAAACAAAAATAAACAAATGGGACCTAATGAAACTTCAAAGCTTTTGCAAAGCAAAGGAAACCATAAAGACCAAAAGAACACCCTCAGAATGGGAGAAAATATTTGCAAACGAAGCAACTGACAAAATATTAATCCCCAAAGTATATAAGTAGCTCATGCAGCTCAATATCAAAAAAACAAACAGCCCAATCCAAAAATGGGCAGAAGATCTAAATAGACAATTCTCCACAGAAGATATACAGACCGCCAACAAACACATGAAGTGATGCTCAACATCATTGATCATTAGAGAAATGCAAATCAAAACTACAATGAGGTATCATCTCACACTGGTCCGAATGGTCATCATCAAAAAATCTACAAAGAATAAATGCTGGAGAGGGTGTGGAGAAAAGGGAACCCTCTTGAACTGTCGGTGGGAATGTAAATTGACACAGCCACTATGGAGAACAGTATGGAGGTTCCTTAAAAACTAAAAATACAACTACTATATGACCCAGCAATCCCACTACTGGGTATATACCCTGTGAAAATCATAATTCAAAAAGAGTCATGTACCACAATATTCACTGCAGCACTATTTACAATAGCTGGGACATGGAAGCAACCTAGCTGTCCATCGACAGATGAATGGATAAAGAAGATGTGGCACATATATACAATGGAATATTACTCAGCCATAAAAAGAAAGAAATTGAGTTATTTGTAGTAAGGTGGATGGACCTAGGGTCTGTCATACAGAGTGAAGTAAGTCAGAGTGAGAAAAATAAATACCGTATGCTCACACATATATATGGAATATAAAAAAAAAAAAAAGGAAAACAATGGTTATGATGAACCTGGGGACAGGACAGGAATAAATATGCAGACATAGAAAATGGACTTGAGGACACAGGGAGGGGAAAGGGTAAGCTCAGACAAAGTGACAGAGTAGCAATGACATATATACACTACCAAATGTAAAATAGATAGCTAGTGGGAAGCAGCTACATAGCACAGGGAGATCAGCTCTGTGCTCTGTGACCACCTAGAGGGGTGGGATAGGGAGGGTGGGAGGGAGACACAAAAGGGAAGGCATATGGGGATATATGTATACATATACCTGATTCACTTTGTTATACAGCAGAAACTAACACAACACTGTAAAGCAATTATATTCCAATAAAGATGTTAAAAAAAAAATCCTATACAGAGCATAACCAGCCAAAAAAACCCAAACCAAACCAAAACAAAAAACCATTAGTCTGAGTACGCAAGAGGTTCAGTACAGTCGTTCTGTAAATCAGTATCAGTTAGGTAAATTTTTTTAAACTATTATATTAGTCTAACATTGTTCAGAAGAAACAAAATTGACACTGCTTTTTAAAAATCAATTACCCTGACTAAATATGGCATGTTACTTCATTACCTTCAGCCTAATAAACTACACAACTGATAACAGCTCATGCTTTTAAGAATATACTGTCAAGTCTTAATTCTATAATTATAATAAAAAAGTTATGTCAAATACCTTATTTGTTTAAAAACACAAATACTCAAGATTCAGTGATCCCTCAGTATCATAATTTCACAAATATTAATATATCAAATGCAGAATGTATTTTAAGATCTAATAAACCTTAAGATTTAATGCCAGCTTTAAAAATAAAGCATTTAAGATATCACTAAAGAGTGAAAACACATTTCAATAAAAACTACATAACCTTTTGTCTGAAGCTTAGAAATGATTATGTACCATATTTAAACCTAAGCTTCTTTTCCATCATTATGTAAGTGACCTACCATAGCAATTTCACAGTGGTGAGAGGCTAAAGAATACTTCAATTTGATTATAATAATGGTAACTAAATTAAATAATTAACAACTCTTGCTTCACTTGGCATGTTGGTTTCATAATTATTAAGGGTATGGACTTTCTTTGAAATGAGTTTTATTTGTAAGAACTTCATCTTTGATCATCTTCTCTATAAGCATAAGCAGTATAGTACTATATTTTATTTAACTAACCTGCCCTGAGCTATAAGATTTCTTTTTAAAAGGCTGTATACAGGGATGAGTTTTGTAAACTGTAAAGCACCACAATACTTGTCAGTTTTATCATGATGACTCTGAAATGGAATGCATGTAGAAATGTCAAATAGTTTGATGATATCAAATTGGACTTTAGGAAAGAGGTAGGGCTTCAGATAGATATTTGTCAATCACCCTACACTCAGATGTAATAACTGCAATTATTACAACAGATGGAATTTCCCAGGAGTAACTGACTGACCCAATGTCATGGAATATACTGCTTTCCACACAGTAAGTACTCAATAAATGTTCATTAAATGACTGACTTTTCAAAAATGATAATAAACCTCTTGTATTGCTATGGTTATACATTCTTTAGCTACCCCTGCTTTTGTAGGATGAGTACAGTAAATCATTATTAGTTATTTTTTTAAACATGTGAACCCATGAAACCTACGCAGGACAAAATACAACTGCCTTAACTCCTCTAGACGTGTTTATTTTTAATTTACCCTAAGAGAACCACTATTATTAACTGTTCAAACTTGTGAAAATACCCAGAAATCTCCTTCAGAGTCTCCTCAAATATCTCAGCATCTAATTAAACTATCTCCCCCTGCACCACAACCAGCATGCATTTTCTTATACAACTGAATCATTTCCTACAATAATTCCAAAAATTCTAATAGCACTTCTTTTACCATTTCCCTTTGCAAGATTTATACTATATTTCAGCTAACATAAAGGTTAGAGACTTTTATGAAGTAGTCTTGATTCTTAACCACCATTTATATCACCGTTTCTTTCAGTTAAGCATTCCAAATTCCAAGTAACTAATTCAAAATGAAAATTTCAGAACAAAACCTATTTGTTACTTGACTACTTCAGTGTTGTCTTATTTATTGTTTTTGTTTTTTTTAATTCTTTCCTGCTCATGAGAATAGGACGACTATTAGTGAGCTATGATTAAACTTCCACCCAGAAATTAATAGCCAAGGTAACATGGAAAGAATGTTAGATTTCAAAGGATGGCAGGATCAAAGTAGGTGGAATAGACGGTACAGAAATATTAGGTAGGACCAAGGCAGTAGCCAACTCAGACCAAGGCAAGAATCAGGCACAGAAAGCTATGTCAGAAAGAAACTATAAGTAGTAAAAAGATATTCATATTTTCAGGCATCAGGTTCAAAGGTATCAGCAGTATGAGGATGTGTGATTGGATCAACAAAATGTGAGGAGCATTAGTCCCTCTCTTTATAACGTGGAACTTCAGGAGAGCACATTAAATAGAAAAGCCTAGTTTTGAGGCAAGTCTGATGTTATTCACCACCCTCTCCTACTTCTTTTCAATTTCTCGTTTGCTCTCAACTTACGGTATTTGGTCTGTTTCTTTCTACTTTCACCAAGCCCTATATTGTAACCCTTTAAGGCCATTACCTTTTATGTTACTGGTTTTCTATGCTTTTGCACTAAATTAGCCTTGCTTCCCATAAACCCAGTACAACACTATATCCTCCTAAGACTCAGGAACCTCTTCTGAAGTCATACTGACCTAACATTAGAGGTAAGGATAGAAAAATAACTGAAGTAAATAGCATTCTTACCAATCTCTCTGCCCCCACTACTATTAAATTATCCTCCAAAGTCCTCACACCTGAACCGATAATATTCAAAATTGCATTGTTTTTTTCAAAATGTTCATCATCATACAGATGTTAAAATAGTTACTATATAAATAAGGGCTAAACAAAAGTTCATTTGATAGATTGACTATAAATAACATGGACCTGTAATTAGGTTCATTAGACTTTTTTCTTGGTAGAATTCATAGTGCCCATGCAGTAGGAGGAGAATATTAGGGTGGAATACGTGTTCCAATACAGAAGTATCCTTGATATAGTACTGAGCATTCTTAATGCGTTTTTAACTATGTTTAAAGAATATTTTAATGGAACTATAAACTTCAGATACTATCTCTTTATAAAGTAAATGTTCTACATTTCAGAGAATAAAATTATTAAAATTGGGTTTATGGACCCGGATGCTATTTTCAATCAATTAAAATTTAGTATTGTTCTATGAAAAGATGGGTAAAACTGGTACTTACCTTTGACACCAAATCAATATTAAATCTCCTGCCTTCTTTAATAATTTGTGAGTAAGTAATCCTATTTTTCTTTGGTTGCTCTGCACTTTCTTCGGCCATAGGCACATTTTCACTTGTTTCCTTTTCTGAAGTTGAGGGCACAGAAGATTTATCATCACAATGGTTTTCTTTCTCCCCTGTCGCTTCAAAATCATTTACTTCTAGGGCACTCTCTGGATCACTGCTTGGAGTTTGTTCTGTGGGTATTTCACAGCTTGCAGTACTTAATGACTGATCTTCTGTAGGCAGGCAGGCAGAATCTGCAGCTTCTGTGGAGTTCGCAGATGTCACAGAAGCGTGATTTTTCTGCAGTGCACCAGCTTCTTTGACATCTTCATGCAAATCCTGACTAATGAGAAATTATAATAATAATCCACACCAGGCTTTTGATAATTATACTTGGCTACCTTTTTGTATTATTTTAACTTACAATGGCAATTTTTATTTCTTTACCTCATTTATCTTGGATGTATTGCTTTATGTGACACACACATTAAACATTCATCTGTTAAGGTTTCAATACGATATGAAACATACTTAAGATTTGAAAAATATACATAAAGATTTCAGGGTTTAGCAGGCCATGCCGTGTGTGTGTGTGTGTATTTTTTTTTTTTTTTTTGGTGAAAAGCAGATTCTTATTTTTTTTACTTAATTTTTATTTTATATTGGGGTATAGTTGATTTACAATATTGCATTAGTTTCAGGTATACATCAAAATGATTCAGTTATATATATACATATAACCATTCTTTTTCAGATTTTTTTCCCATATAGGTTATTACAGAATATTGAGTTCCCTGTGCTATACAGTAGGTCCTTGTTGCTTACCTATTTTATATATAGTAGTGTGTATGTTAATCACATGTATATTTTTGAGAATTTAAGGCAGACAGGGGAACTGCCCTGTCTTACAAGTACATCCCTCAGTGCTTACAAGTACATCCCTCAGAATAAAAAGATCGAGGTTCAAAGCCTCAGCCTAGGACTAGATAATTCTGTGAATGTAGACAAGTTGTTTATCCTCTCTGACCTAAATTATCCATCTATAACATAGGGATAATACCACCTATCTCACAAGGTTGTTTTGGAGATTAAATGAAGTATCACATGCAAAGAACCTGACACAGTGCCTGGCACACAGTAAATGCTCAACAGTGGTAATTACTGGTGAGCAAAGATTATTATTCAAAGATTATTACTGTGGTGTGACAGAGCTAGAAAAAACTGCTGTGAAAGTGTAAGTTGGCTTATCACAATGTGGTATCAAACAGGATCTTTCTGAATTCTTTCCTGCTGTATTTTGTTTTATTTTTAGTGTCTATTACTTTCCTGGAAGTGCCACTTCCAAAGTTACTACTAGAGTGAACATTCTCAGTCCATTATTGTCTTGATTGACACAATAGGCTCCCATTCGCTGTGCCTGCATCATGTATCTCTCCATGATGTTTTATCCTCCACAGAACCTACGTTTTCATTGAGTTGCCCTACTGCTCAACACTAAAAATGCCTTGTACATGACAGGCTGTGGGAAGTAAACATCTGCTAACTGATTGCTCAAGAACTAACAGCAGTTCTTTCTCATACTGAATCTCAACCCTAACCCACAAAATCTTCCTCTTCCAGTCTCTAAACCAAATCACCTTCTTTATCAACTGTCTTGTCTCATCTCTCCTACTTTCTGAAATGGCATCTCTAACTCCTAATTTATCAACTCAAATCTCCATGATTTGTCTCATGTTAATTGCTTCTTCTGGGCTATTCTTCCCAATTCCTGTAATATCACAATTCCCTCATCCCCAAACATAATCACATACTTCACCAATCGACACATTTTAAGAAAAAGTTTAAATTTCACTTTCAGGAAGTCTTCCTTAACCCAACCACACTCATCATTCTGTTACTCCATGCCCCATAATACACACATGCAGTTTACCTTGCATTTATTTATCAGTTCCTTGTTAATAGCCTTTTGTCTGTCCCATATATACTTTATCTTCAACTAGACTTTATTTTCCTTGAGGGAAGACCCTAACATCTTGTCTTGAGTGCCCCTCACAACACTTACTGCACTGCTCTATAGACGTGGTATTTAATAAATACGTGATGAATAAATGGTTTATACATGCAAAAGATGGAAGTATAAATATACATTTATATAAAAATTCATAAATACATATTTATAAATATACATATTTAAATATGAAACAAACATATGTATTATAGAAAACACATAAACCTAGGACAGTAAAAAACAATAAACTTTACATTCAAAAGTTTGTGGGGAGGAGCTTCAAGATGGCAGAAGAGCAAGACGTGGAGATCACCTTCCTACCCACAAATACATCAGAACTACATCTATATATGGAACAACTCCTACAGAACACCTACTGAATGCTGGCAGAAGACCTCAGACTTCCCAAAAGGCAAGAAACTCCCCATGTACTTGGGTAGGGCAAAAGAAAAAAGAAAAAACAGAGACAAAAGAATAGGGATGGGACCTGAACCAGTGGGAGGGAGCCGTGAAGGAGGAAAGGTTTCCACATACTAGGAAGCCCCTTTGCGGGTAGAGACTGTGGGTGGCAGAGGGGGGAAGCTTCGGAGCCACGGAAGAGAGCTCAGCACAGGGGTGCGGAGGGCAAAGCAGAGAGATTCCCCCACAGAGGATCAGTGCCAAACAGCACTCACCAGCCCAAGAGGCTTGTCTGCTCACCAGCTGGGGCGGGCTCGGGATGGGAGATGAGGCTCGGGCTTCAGAAGTTGGACTGGGGCTGGCTGTGTGAACACAGCCTGAAGGGGGCTACCACGCCACAGCTAGCCGGGAGGGAGTCCGGGAAAAATTCTGGATCTGCTGAAGAGGCAAGAGACTTTTTTCTTGCCTCTTTGTTTCCTAGTGCGCAAGGAGAGGGGATTAAGAGCGCCACTTAAAGGAGCTCCAGAGACAGGCGCGAGCTGCTGCTATGAGCGCGGATCCCAGAGATGGGCACGAGACGAGAAGGCTGCTGCTGCAGCCACCAAGAAGCCTGTGTGCACGCACAGGTCACTAACCCCACCTCTCCTCCCGGGAGCCTGTGCAACCCGCCACTGCCAGGGTCCAGTGATCCAGGGACAACTTCCCTGGGAGAACACACGATGCACCTCAGGCTGGTGCAACGTCATGCCGGCTTCTGCGGCCACAGGCTCGCCCCGCACACCGTACCCCTCCCTCCCCCCGGCCTGAAGGAGACAGAGCCCCAGAATCAGCTGCTCCTTTAACCCCGTCCTGTCTGAGCGAAGAACAGACACGCTCAGGCGACCTACACGCAGAGGCGGGGCCAAATCCAAAACTGAACCCCAGGAGCTGTGTGAACAAAGAAGAGAAAGGGAAATTTCTTTCAGCAGCCTCAGGAACACCGGAATAACTCTCCACAATCAACTTGATGTACCCTGCATCTGTAGAAAACCTGAATAGACAATGAATCATCCAAAATTGAGGAGGTGGACTTTGGGAGCAACGACATATATAAATTTTTCCCTTTTTCTCTGCTGGTGAGTGTGTATCGGTTTGTTTCTGTGTGTGATCTGTGTCTGTATAGCTTGTCTTCCCTTTTTTTATTACTTAAAATGCTTTCTTATACTAATTATTATTTTTTATTTTAATGACTTTATTATATTTTATTGTACTTTATTTTATCTTCTTCTTTCTTTATTTTTTCTCCCTTTTATTCTGAGCTGTGTGGATGACAGACTCCTGGTGCTCCAGCCAGGCGTCAGGGCTGTGCCTCTGAGGTGTGAGGGCCAAGTTCAGGACACTGGTCCACAAGAGACCTCCCAGCTCCACGTAATATCAAACGGAGAAAATCTCCCAGAGACCTCCATCTCAATGCCAAGCCAGCTCCACTCAATGACCAGCAAGTTCCAGTGCTGAACACCCTATGCCAAACAACTAGCAAGACAGGACCACAACCCCATCCATTAGCAGAGAGGCTGCCTAAAAACATAACAAGGCCACAGACACCCCAAAACACACCACCAGATGTGGACCTGCCCACCAGAAAGACAAGATGCAGCTTCCTCCACTAGAACACAGGCATCAGTCCCCTCCACCAGGAAGCCTACACAACCCACTGAACCAACCTTAGCCACTGGGGACACACACCAAATACAACGGGAACAATGAACCTGAAGCCTGTGAAAAGGAGAGCCCAAACACAGGAAGAAAAGCAAAATAAGAAGACAGAAAAAAACACAGCAGATGAAGGAGCAAGGAAAAAACCCACCAGACCTAACAAATGAAGAGGAAATAGGCAGTCTACCTATAAAAGAATTCAGAATAATGAAAGTAAAGATGATCCAAAATCTTGGAAATAGAAGAGAAAAAATATAAAAAAATGTTTAACAAGGAACTAGAAGAACTAAATAGCAAAGAAACAGTGATGAACAACACAATAAATGAAATTAAAAAATCTCTAGAAGGGATCAAGAGCAGAATAACTAAGGCATAAGAACAGAAAAGTGACTTGGAAGATAAAAGAGTGGAAATAACTACTGCAGAGCAGAATAAAGAAAAAAGAATGAAAACAATTGAGGACAGTCTCAGAGACCACTGGGACAACATTAAATGCACCAACATTCTAATTATAGGGGTCCCAGAAGAAGAGAAAAAGAAAGGGACTGAGAAAATATTTGAAGAGATTACAGTTGAAAACTTCCCTAATATGGAAAAGGAAATAGTTAATCAAGCCCAGGAAGCACAGAGAATCCCATACAGGAAAAATGCAAGGAGAAACACACCAAGACACAATTTAATCAAACTATCAAAAATTAAATATAAAGAAAAAATATTAAAAGCAGCAAGGGAAAAACACCAAATAACACACAAGGGAATCCCCATAAGGTTAACAGCTGATCTTTCAAGAGAAACTCTGCAAGCCAGAAGGGAGTGGTAGGACATATTTAAAGTGATGAAGGAGAAAAACCTGCAAGCAAGACTACTCTACCCAGCAAGGATCTCATTCAGATTTGATGGAGAAATTAAAACCTTTACAGACAAGCAAAAGCCAGGAGAATTCAGCACTACCAAACGAGCTTTACAACAAATGCTAAAGGAACTTCTCTAGGCAGGAAACACAAGAAAAAGACCTACAATAACATACCCAAAACAATTAAGAAAAAGGAAATAGGAACATACATATAGATAATTACCTTAAATGTAAATGGATTAAATGCTCCAACCAAAAGACATAGACTGGCTGAATGGATACAAAAACAAGACCCGTATATATGCTGTCTACAAGAGACCCACTTCAGACCTACGGACACATACAGACTGAAAATCAGGGTATGGAAAAAGATATTCCATGTAAATGG